CTCGACTTGTCGCAAAAGGTTTTCGGCAAGTTCAAGGGATTGACTACGATGAGACCTTCTCACCCGTAGCGATGCTTAAGTCTGTCCGAATCATGTTAGCAATTGCCGCATTTTATGATTATGAAATTTGGCAGATGGATGTCAAAGCTGCATTCCTGAATGGATTTCTGGAAGAAGAGTTGTATATGATGCAACCAGAAGGTTTTGTCGATCCAAAGGGAGCTAACAAAGTGTGCAAGCTCCAGTGATCCATTTATGGACTGGTGCAAGCCTCTCGGAGTTGGAATAAACGCTTTGATAGTGTGATCAAAGCATTTGGTTTTATACAGACTTTTGGAGAAGCCTGTATTTACAAGAAAGTGAGTGGGAGCTCTGTAGCATTTTTGATATTATATGTGGATGACATATTACTAATTGGAAATGATATAGAATTTCTGGATAGCATAAAGGGATACTTGAATAAGAGTTTTTCAATGAAAGACCTCGGTGAAGCTGCTTACATATTAGGCATTAAGATCTATAGAGATAGATCAAGACGCTTAATTGGACTTTCACAAAGCACATACCTTGACAAAGTTTTGAAGAAGTTCAAAATGGATCAAGCAAAGAAAGGGTTCTTGCCTGTGTTACAAGCTGTGAAATTGAGTAAGACTCAATGCCCGACCACTGCAGAAGATAGAGAGAAAATGAAAGATGTTCCCTATGCTTCAGCCATAGGCTCTATCATGTATGCAATGTTGTGTACCAGACCTAATGTGTGCCTTGCCATAAGTTTAGCAGGGAGGTACCAAAGTGATCCAGGAGTGGATCACTAGACAGCGGTCAAGAACATCCTGAAATACCTGAAAAGGACTAAGGATATGTTTCTCATATATGGAGGTGACAAAGAGCTCATCGTAAAAGGTTACATTGATGCAAGCTTTGACACTGATCCGGATGATTCTAAATCGCAAACCGGATACGTGTTTACATTAAACGGTGGAGCTGTCAGTTGGTGCAGTTCTAAACAAAGCGTTGTAGCGGGATCTACATGTGAAGCGGAGTACATAGCTGCTTCGGAAGCAGCAAATGAAGGAGTCTGGATGAAGGAGTTCATATCCGATCTAGGTGTCATACCTAGTGCATCGGGTCCAATGAAAATCTTTTGTGACAATACTGGTGCAATTGCCTTGGCAAAGGAATCCAGATTTCACAAGAGAACCAAGCACATCAAGAGACGCTTCAATTCCATCTGGGGTCTAGTCCAGGTGGGAGACATAGAGATTTGCAAGATACATACGGATCTGAATGTTGCAGACCCGTTGACTAAGCCTCTTCCACGAGCAAAACATGATCAGCACCAAGGCTCCATGGGTGTTAGAATCATTACTGTGTAATCTAGATTATTGACTCTAGTGCAAGTGGGAGACTGAAGGAAATATGCCCTAGAGGCAATAATAAAGTTATTATTTATTTCCTTATATCATGATAAATGTTTATTATTCATGCTAGAATTGTATTAACCGGAAACATAATACATGTGTGAATACATAGACAAACGAAGTGTCACTAGTATGCCTCTACTTGACTAGCTCGTTAATCAAAGATGGTTATGTTTCCTAACCATGAACAAGGAGTTGTTATTTGATTAACGGGATCACATCATTAGGTGAATGATCTAATTGACATGACCCATTCCATTAGCTTAGCACCCGATCGTTTAGTATGTTGCTATTGCTTTCTTCATGACTTATACATGTTCCTATGACTATGAGATTATGCAACTCCCGTTTGCCGGAGGAACACTTTGTGTGCTACCAAACGTCACAACGTAAATGGGTGATTATAAAGGTGCTCTACAGGTGTCTCCAAAGATACATGTTGGGTTGGCGTATTTCGAGATTAGGATTTGTCACTCCGATTGTCGAAGAGGTATCTCTGGGCCCTCTCGGTAATGCACATCACATAAGCCTTGCAAGCATTGCAACTAATGAGTTAGTTGCGAGATGATGTATTACGGAACGAGTAAAGAGACTTGCCGGTAACGAGATTGAACTAGGTATTGAGATACCGACGATCGAATCTCGGGCAAGTAACATACCGATGACAAAGGGAACAACGTATGTTGTTATGCGGTCTGACCGATAAAGATCTTCGTAGAATATGTAGGAGCCAATATGAGCATCCAGGTTCCGCTATTGGTTATTGACCGGAGACGTGTCTCGGTCATGTCTACATTGTTCTCGAACCCGTAGGGTCCGCATGCTTAAGGTTTCGATGATAGTTATATTATGAGTTTATGAGTTTTGATGTACCGAAGTTAGTTCGGAGTCCTGGATGTGATCACGGACATGACGAGGAGTCTCGAAATGGTCGAGACATAAAGATTGATATATTGGACGGCTATATTCGGACACCGGAAGTGTTCCGGGTGATTTCGGAGAAAACCGGAGAGCCGGAGGGTTACCGGAACCCCCCCGGGAGAAGTAATGGGCCATATGGGCCTTAGTGGAGAGAGAGAGAGAGGGGCAGCCAAAGGTGGGCCGCGCGCCTCCTCCCCCTGGTCCGAATTGGACTAGGAGAGGGGGGCGGCGCCCCCCCCCCCTTTCCCTCTTCCTCCCCACTTCTTTCCCCCTCCTAGTAGGAGTCGGAGGAGGACTCCTCCTTGGCGCGCCTATAGGGCCGGCCGGCCTCCTCCCCTTGCTCCTTTATATACGGGGGCAGGGGGCACCCCTAGACACACAAGTTGATCCACGTGATCATATTCTTAGCCGTGTGCGGTGCCCCCTTCCACCATAGTCCTCGATAATATTGTAGCAGTGCTTAGGCGAAGCCCTGCGACGGTAGTGCATCAAGATCGTCACCACGCCGTCGTGCTGACGGAACTCTTCCCCGACACTTTGCTGGATCGGAGTCCAGGGATCGTCATCGAGCTGAACGTGTGCTAGAACTCGGAGGTGCCGTAGTTTCGGTGCTTGATCGGCCGGGCCGTGGAGACGTACGACTACATCAACCAAACGCTTCCGTTGTCGATCTACAAGGGTACGTAGATCACACTCTCCCCTCTCTTTGCTATGCATCACCATGATCTTGCGTGTGCGTAGGAATTTTTTGAAATTACTACGTTCCCCAACATTATTATCTTGCAAACATATCTCTTTACACCTACAAAGTACTTCTAGTTTCATACTTATTCTAGGTAAAGCAAACGTAAAGTGTGCATAGAGTTGTATCGGTGGTCGATAGAACATGAGGGAATTTTTGTTCTACCTTTATCTCTTCGTTGGGTTCGACACTCTTACTTATCGAGAAAGGCTACAATTGATCCCCTATACTTGTGGGTTATCAGGCCCACAACAGTCTCTGACACCATCCTTCTGCTATATGAGGCCTTTTGCCCTAAACAAATAAGAGAAAACTTTTGGGAGAAGAGTCGTTGTCTCGAGGCGGAATTTGGTAAGTAAATTAAAGTGAAATTGGTTCATAAGATAAGTGAATTAGGATGATTGATTGTCATACATGGAAGGTTGTACAAAGGGGTGATGGGAAGAAAAGTAAAACATGAAACCTTAAACCCTAATTCACCTATACAAATTATCATTGTATTTGGTGTGTCGGGGACACAAAAGACTTTTTATTATTTAGTTGCAGGGTTGTTTAAGAGAGACCATCTTCATCCTACACCTCCCACAGATTGATAAACTTTAGGTCATTTATTTGAGGGAAAATTGCTATTGTCCTACAAAACTCTGTGTTTGGAGACCCAACACGTGTCTATAAGAATAAAGTTGCGTAGTAGACATCAGTGATTCCTCCGCTCTTCGATTGCCGTCTTGACACCGTGAGAGGGGGGGTAGGTTTCTCATTCGGGCATGTAGTAGTCCTAGGGTTTCTAGATTTTTCGAGTTTCCTCCGTTGGTGTCATGGCGGGGCTGATGCTGATGGTGCTCATAGGAATAATCATCTTCCAGGCCATGCTTCTGCTCGTTGGAGGTGTTGTTAACGCCTACGAGAGGCTTGTGGAGTCCAAAATGTTGGGGCGGCTTCGATCTGGCGTTGTGCCTTGGCGTGATGGCAGTGATGGGTTGCTCTTGGAGGGTGACGGTGATGATTGTTGCAAATATGCAGAAGACAGTGAAGGATCCGACCGCTTGGTGAAGGGCGGATTGGCTTGGCCACGGATCCGGTGTTGAAGAGGCTCGGAGGGTTCATTCGGCCGATGTTCCTTATTGGGCTAAATCCAGCCTTTCGGGGTTGGTGGCTATCGTGGCTGGTTAAAGTCTAGGGGTTTTGAGGTAGACCAGCTTCGCATGCTCCCCTTCTTCAATAACGATAAAAGTTCTGAGTGCTTGATAGTTGCGGCGAGGACGGTATATAGCAGTACAACTGCTTGGATCTTTCTTATTTTCCGTTGCTTGTATGCCTATCATTTCTTTGTCGTTACTATAACAAATACCAGTAATGTACTCTCTTCATTTCTAAATATTTGTCTTTTCAGAGATTTTAAATGTACTATCACATACAGATGTATATAGACATATTTTAGAGTGTAGATTCATTCATTCTGCTTCGTGTAGTCATTTGTTGAAATGACAATTACTTAGGAACGGAGGATGATGTGTGTAATAAGTATATTAAAAAAAGATGCGAAAGTACTCCACGAGATCACATACTCAAAGTTAATCGTCAACTCGTCATCCTCCTCCTCTCCTCTCTCTTCCTCGTTGGCCCTGCCTTTAAAAGTCGCCAGTCGCCACCAAACTCACCACGAATGGGCTGGTGCTCCCCATCCACTCCCCGGCAGCTGCTATCCACCGTCGCGCTCTTTGCCTTCGGCGCGGGGCTCCTCTCCTACGGCGCTCACCTCTCCTACGTCCACATCGAGCCCCAGCGCGCGCGCACCCTCGCCCGCGATCAGTTCGTCCGCGACTACCTACGCAGGAAGCACGACAAGTAGCCCGCACCCCCCACGACACCCCCTCCTAGTCCGCTCGATTTCTCGCCCTTCCTCCTCGGCGGCGATGGCTTTGTCCCCCGCGAGCGTCGGGCCGGTGATTCCGGAGGTGGAGATGAACGCCGGCGCCGATCAGGGCTCCACCACCGTGCGGGCCACTGTCGTGCAGGCCTGCAGCGTTTTCTACGACACTCCTGCAACGCTCGGTGCGTGCTCCCACCCTGTTGTTGTTTCCTTTTGCTGCTAGTAGTAGCTCGTATGGTGTTCGATCATTTGTCTCGCTCGTGTGTCTGTTTGGATCGGGTGCTGAGCGCTAGGTGTTTGCTTGCTTGTCTCACTAGCACGAACTTGACTTGTTGTAGTCGATCAGACTGATGCCTCAAATCGCAAGGATGGTGCACCGATCTGTAATACTCCTATTATTTTCCCTTCTTATTGTGGTCTTCGATGTATACAAAGGAAGTGCCTTGCTTTCTCAACGTCAGTGGACTGATGAAAACGGAATTGATAGCTTCTCTTTAATAGTAGTTGGTGTAGTTTTCTTAGTGGCAAGTTACTAAGTTCCAGTCTTTCTTGCTCGGAAAACAACGTGTTTGTGTGCTGGTGTGGTATAAACTATCCACTTTGGATGCCAAGGGGACAGATGCTCGTGCTAGATTTGTTTTTTTTCTCTTTCTCAATTATACATGTGTCGAAGCAATTATTGCTCTACAATTTGTGGTTATGCGGAAGGGGCATTGGATAGAAGTCAGTACCAAACTTGTTTGTTTTGCCACAGAGCTGTGATGTCAATCTTTAAGAAAGCGAACACTAACTTGCAGTCTCCTAGTGAGAGATTCCTTTCGCGTCGATAAAATTCGATTATCTATTTGTTTTCTTGCATCTTTTCTCCTTTTTTTTCTATGATGTTCCCTGTTAAGCAAGATCTATTGGAGAGTTGAGGCCTCATATAGTTTTTCTTAGTCTATTAATTAACAGTCATTAATCACTTAACTGCAATAATCAGTGTGCCACCAAATCGAGTGAAGAATAAAATTAATAAATACAGTATTATGCCGAAAGAGTGCAAGGATTTGAAATAGGAAATGCATGTTGGTAGGGTATCTTGTACTCCATTTATTTACATGAATTCCTTACAGGACTGGACAATGTTTTGTTGCTGCTAATTTCGTAAATGCATTGTCGACAGATAAAGCAGAGAAATTGATAGCGGAGGCTGCTGGATATGGTTCACAGTTGGTTCTTTTTCCAGAAGTCTTTGTTGGTGGCTACCCTCATGGGTCTACCTTTGGACTGACTATTGGCAGTCGATCTGCCAAGGGAAAAGAAGACTTCCGGAAGTATCACGCGGCTGCCATAGATGTGCCTGGTATTCCAAGATACTGTCAATATATATATACTCATTGTACATTATTTTTTCACAATAGTCACCATGCTTCATCATTTTGCTTGACGCTTATCCTTTCCTAGTGTACATTTTGCTTCGGATAAATAGAAATACACCTACAACCAAACTTTTTTGTTCGGTTTTGGAACTGTAGATTCAATCCATATGTTGAGCTACAAATTTTGAAGCACACAATTATTTTTTGATGTGTTACAGTTACATTGACAGTATATTCAAACAGTGTAGTGCTAGAAATGAAGTATAAACCACAAAATAATGTAAGACTATGTATCGCTTCTTTTTCCTACATCGTCGAAAAATGGAAAAGCAAGCATGGAAAACCTCAAATTTGCTGTCCAGGCCACAAGCTGATAAGTTACAGCTGGTATTACGACTGAGCTGAAGTGTGTATCATATTTGGTTCCTGTTTCCGTGGTTCACAGCATTTCAAGAAGTAGAGCTCTTCTTCCAAAACAAAGTAGAGCTCCATAATTGATAGAACTTTGCTTTTGACCTTGTCGCCTGTATTTGTTAAATTTCTTTGTTATTCGTTTGGTTGATGGTGTAATTCAAATCATCACAACAGAGCATAGTGAAAAAGTCATGTGAGCTTGCACCTCTTGTTAACTACCGCTGATAAAAATGAATAAATCAACAAAGCATATAATAAACATCAGTACTCACATGTTGTTAGTTAGCATTTGCATCTTCACTTCTTTCACATTTAGACCCACTATCTTCCACTTCCCAATGGATCTATCTTTTCCTGCCACAAAATATTTCTTTAGTACCAATCTGTTAGTATTGCAGACCATTTTACACACATTCAAAAAATGCAGGCCCAGAGGTTAGCCGCTTAGCTGCATTGGCCGGAAAATACAAGGTCTTTTTGGTGATTGGGGTTGTTGAAAGGGCAGGCTACACACTGTACAATACAGTGCTCTCCTTTGATTCTCTGGGAAAGTACCTAGGAAAACACCGCAAGCTCATGCCTACCTCACTGGAACGAGTATTCTGGGGGTTTGGAGATGGATCTACGATACCTGTTTATGATACTCCACTTGGAAAGATAGGTGCCGTCATCTGCTGGGAGAACAGAATGCCACTTATCAGGACAGCGATGTATGCCAAAGGTATTCCGAGTTCTTGCGATGTAATATGTTTCCCAACCTCAACACTTCCTCCGTTTCAAGATTATTGAATTTTATTGGCAGAAACTAAGATCCCACATAAGAGTTACTAGATTGGCTCAACGCATTAATGTACAAAAGAATGGCAGCATGAAATCTAAAACTAGAGATAAATGCTGACAACGAACCATGACATGTAGTTGAGTTTATATTTTCCCTGACGTGCACTCCTATGCTTATCCAGGTGTTCAAATATACTGTGCTCCCACTGCGGATGCGCTGCCAAGTTGGCAGGCTTCCATGACACACATTGCGCTTGAAGGGGGATGCTTTGTTCTGACAGCAAACCAGTTCTGCCGCAGAAAAGACTTTCCTCCCTCGCCTGAGTATACCTTTGGTGGCCATGAGGAGGAGCCATCCCCAGAAACCGCTGTTTGTCCTGGAGGGAGCGCCATCATCTCGCCATCTGGGACAGTGTTGGCAGGTCCCAACTATGAAGGCGAGGCCCTCCTCACAGCTGACCTGGGTAAGAAGAAACCGATGACTCCCAAGTCTATGCTAAACACATACTATCATTTTGGGTACTTATACGCAGTACGACACGGTGTATGGATTTTATCTATTCATATGTTTTCAGTAATCTACAGTTATCAGTATTGCAGCTGTCACCTACATAAATCAGTATTGTGACAGAAACATGACAAGCATATAAATTCTTACTAGAAACTTGGTGATATGTTTTGCAGACCTTGGAGAAATTGTTCGAGCCAAGTTTGATTTCGACGTCGTGGGACACTACGCGCGCCCTGAGGTGCTGAGCTTGACCGTGAAGACCGAACCGAAACACGCCGTGTCTTTCACTTCTACTGTCTGATAGATTTGAGGCCGCAAAGAGGGACGATATTTTGAAGACCTGATGTCCAGTAATCTTCCATAGTCGTGTATAACAAAGTTGTGATCCAACGTCTATCTGTCGGCATTACAACAATAATTGTGCCTTCATATATATTTTTTGTAAAGATTCGGAGAAGATGCTTGTTAGCATAAACAATTAAGGCATGCACATGCCCTATTTTACAGGTCTTGTCATCGGTCATTCTCTACTGGTTTGCTATCATACTCTCACTCGTAGTCACCGGCCGCCATATATACAAATCCTATCAACTTTAACATCTTAGCACACAGGGATGTGGATGCTTTCCGAACATCACCTTCCCGTTGTATGTTTTTCTCTTTGATTCAACCACTGGTATGTACTTCACCAAAGAAAAAAAACATCACTGGTCTACACTACTGTATATTCATTTTCCTTCACTGCATTTTTCCTTTGTGTCCACTGCATAGAATATATACAGGAACGATGAAAGATGGAGGCAACTCGATAAGCATCGCGGCGGCCATCTTTTGTGTACTGTTTTTGGCAATGTAAAGTCTCATCACGGATCGCGCATATTTAGGTTGCAATTTTGCCGAAACAAATGCCAATATTCGGAGCCTTCGGATTTATTTAGGTGCAATCATAGTTGTTTTATCCAATGAATAAAGCGGACCGTGGGGAAGGAGGGCCACGTGGTGGCAGCTGGCGTGAGGCAATATTTTTTTCTTTCGTCCGATTGCTCGCGATCGTTAGCGAACAAACAGGTGATGGCTAGCCACGTACGTCTATATAACGAAAATAGATAGACGATGTTTTTTTTTTTGCGGGTGCGATAGACAATGTTGAAAAATAGCATAAATCATTTCATCAGTGGAAGACAATTTAGAAGTTGAAAACAGCGAGACAGCTGTTCAGGAAAAGAGAGGACAAGGCTGGACAATGTTTGGAAAATAAGAAACGATGTAGACAAGGCAAGAGAGGCCTAGAAGCATCAAGCATGCGCTGTCGAATTCAAGTCCCTCCGCTTTGTCGTCGTACTAACAACCCATCCACTGTCACACTCACACCAGCGTGGAGCCATGGATTGATTGGCGTTCTATTTGTCTAGTAGGGCATGTACAATGGCGGCACATGGATGTATATGCTCCATGACAAAAAGTAATTTGAGGCATTTAAATTTATTTTTTCTCTTCAATGCAAGCTATCATCAGTTGGTCTTATTAAGAAATAGAAAATAAAGACTCTAGTACACATGTATCTTTACTTTTCACTTCAACTTTTTCAGCTTTTGTCACCGGAACATACTTTTTCTCTTCAAGCACCCGCCTCCTGAAGAGGATCTCGCTTCTCTATCCGAACCTACATTATGTCATATCCGATCCTACATGGCATGCGAGGCATCACCTTGAGCCTATGCATTGTATATGCCCGTAGTAGTTCACTGACCCGCTCCGGTGCTCCCCGGTCCCCACCATCCCCGCTTTCCCCTCGAGTGCCCGCCTCTGCATCAAGTTCCGGTTCGTCGTGGGCGCTCCTCAGAGGATCTCTAGCAGACCCTTAAAGCGGTCAAACCCGTAAAAAGGTGTTTAAAGTTTCGGTCGAAAAAACAACGCCTAGCAGATTCCGTAAAATTCACTTTGCCCTTAAACTTTTTAAATGGCGCTGAAAATCCATCCGTGAGAACCTCATATGTATAGTTTCAAAGACAGTATACAATTCAGTCTGTAAACTAGTCAAACCTCGTTGGAGCAGACGCACCGCCGCGAAACAGGTCGGAACCTAGCCGGAACTCACATCCATCGCCGCACGTCGGAAGAAGCCGCTGCACGCCGAAATTTGCCAGTGCCGGTCCGAATTGCGTCCGGCTCGACCTCCACTGCCGAGGCGAGGCCGTCGACGGGCAGGGCGAAGCAGGCCACCAGCGGCCCAAATCAGGGGGGCGGCGACGGGGAGCTTGCGCAGCCACGTAGGGGAGTGCACATGGCGGCGGGCGGTGCTGGGCTCAATCGGGGACGGGGAGGCGCACCAGGGAGCGCGCGGGCGGCGCCGGGGTGAGGCACACCGTGGCCGGAGATAGGCTCTGCCAGGACGGGAGAAAAAGAATAGAAAAAAATGAGCTACAGTGGAATACAGTTTTATTTACGGTATTTGCTCTATCCAGGGCAATTTCGTATCATAAAAATGGTTTACAGTGCCCCTTATACGCGTTTTTACTGGCCAACTTTTAAGGGGTCTACTAGAGATGCTTTCACAGCTGACTTGGGTAAGAAGAAACCGATGACTCCAAGTCTATGCTAAATATATATCATTTTGGGTACTTAGAGCATCTACAGTCGGGCCTCTTATACCCGTCTCAAACGCCCCAGCAGGCCATCCGGTCATTCTCCGACGACGGTTTTTTGACTCAAGCGGCCCCCTCAAACATGCGGGCTGACTGGCACCTCTCATATCTGGTCCAAATATGGGACGGATATGGACCGAAGAAGGAGTCCCAGCCGGAAATGCCCTGAAACCCGACGGTCCGAAGCTCGTCTCCTCCGTCGGACCGGTGGCGCCGCGTGGCGCAGCTCCGGCGGGCCGCGTCGTGCCTAGCCCGACTATTTAAGTCGACCGGCGGCACCGAAACCCTACCATCTATACACATTTTTCTCCTTCTCCTGTCCATAGCCGCCGCCACTTTCCACTCCACCCGTCCGCCTAGTAGCCATGCCCCCATGCCGCCGGGTGAGGAGCAAGCCATTTCTGACGCCGGAGCGCCGGCTCGAGCTCCTTGAGCAGATTCGGGCTAGGCATGAAGCCGAATGTAGCGACCAGACCTCAAACGGTCCAATCTCTATGCTCAGGTGTCATCCCTGGATCAGTAATGCTGACACCACACAGTACTTGAAGGATTTATAACAGAGTAGCAACCACACACTTATTACATCGAGTGTCTCAGTAAAGAACTTATTACAATAAATATGGCTTAAGGACATCTAATAACGATAACAGCGGAAGGCTTGGAAGATAAGTGAGTCCATCAACTCCAACGGCATCACTGAGTATAGAACCACGACCTAAAAACTCCTTAATCGTCGTCTGAAAAGTCTGCAACATTAATGTTGCAGCCCGAAACGGGTCAGCACATGGAATATGCTGGCAAGGTAACACATAGAGAGTAATGGAATGAAACAGCTATACTATATGCATATTTGGCTGGTGGAAAGCTCTATGGTTACAGTTTTGCGTAAAGCCAATTTTTCCCTACTGCAAAGGAATAAATTTTATTTAACTATCATGGTAGTTGTTAAACATTGAGAATGGTTGACAGCATCATCAATCCCAATTAAGCATCATCATTAACAAAACCCAACAAAATTAATTTAGAGTAACATGTTGAGATTCACATGATAATCCAAGTACTAGATACTCAAGATGTCCATAACCGGGGACATGGCTAACCATGATTAGTTTATACACTCTGCAGAGGTTTGCGCACTTTTCCCCACAAGACTCGATCGCCTCTGTTTGGTTTCTCGCACTACATGGTGTTTGAGAAGACGGATGACCGAGACATAGTCTTTCAGAAGCGCTAGCACCTTACGATGGATAGACCGTTACACCTACTTTCCCCTACATCTTCTAGTCCATCCTGTAAGAGTTCGCACGACTTAATCAACTATGCTAGAGCCCATAATAGCTTGTGGCTGCACACGGAAGTTTCTAGTATGAAAAATCTCATGATCCCTTTGGGCCTGGGTGGCGGTCCATAAAGAAAAACAGGCAATCCTGGAATACCCAGGTACCTCAATCCACCCAGATGTGTGTTTAAGTTGCCACCTTAGATAAACCATTAATTAACAAACTCACATCTGTCATGGATATCACTCACCCAATCCACGTCTACTAGCATAGCATGGCATAAAAGGCAAACGTAGAAGTAACTCCCAAAGGTTTGGAAATAAGCAGGTAATAGGTACTACCTCAACTACTTCCCATCCCACAATTTAATTAGATCCTAATCATGCAATGTTTGAGGATTGATCTAATGCAATAAAACTGGGTAGTAGGAGGTATGATCAAAGTGTTACTTGCCTTGCTGATGATCCGCGAAACCTAGAGATTCGAAGTAACAGGCGGCGCACTCCGGGTATTCTATCACAGACAAACAAACAAGCATACAATAAGTATTCATCTAATGCACAGGTAAAACTCGAATAAGAGATTTAACCAGAAGGTTCAACTTAAGAACTCTGGTTTGCAAAAAGAATCAAATCAAACGAAGCAACGAAAGTCAAACGGCAAAAGAAACAGGCTTCGTTTACTATTCTAGATCTAGGACAATTTTTACAGTGGCAACAACTTGTTTAAGTTGGTTAAACGGATAGAGGGTTTCGAGACGAAGCTCCAGGCGCTTGAATTGCCTGATTCCGATAAACGAGCGAAAAGTTATACTAAAACGAAAATCGGATCAGAAATCGCGATCAGAAAAAATCACGGATTTAATCCGAGAAAAAGAAAGACGACGAACGTTCGCTAGAACGAACGAACGGACGAATGCTCGCTATTTAAATAAATCGGAAAAAACGATCTATTAAAAAAACCGAAATTAAAAAAACGAACAAAACCGTCGGAAAAACCGAACGGTTTTTCGGAAAAAAATGGTGTCTGGAAAAAATCTACCCGGCAACTCCGGCGAGAACTCCGGCAGCGGCGGCGGGGCTCCGGCGGGGCGACGGCGGCGGTGGCGCAGCGTGGCGGCGGCGGCGGCTAGGGCGGAGCTGGGGCTAGGGTTTGGGTGGGGAGGCTCCCGGGCTGGGCTCCCGGCTTATAAAGCCCAATCGGGCCTAGAGTCCAGGTCGGACACGACCCGTAGGTCGGTTGCGTTTTTTTTAAATATTCCGCGCAGAAAAACAAATAAAAGAAATACTAAACGGACTCCAAAAATCCCGAAATAAATTC